CGTATCATAAATATTCCTTAGAAAGGAAGCTTTTTCAAAATTAAAACGCGTTGTAAGCTGAAACACATTTCTTTAAAGTCTCGTTGTAACGAAATCTACCTTCAATCTGAACTAACAAGAACAAAATTGACCTGCATGTGTTATTATACTGTAAAAACATAACAAAATCCAGGTGTCAATCATCAATTGTTAAGCGTAGTTCATGCAAGCGATATTTACTGACGCTCGTTTCAGTCTAATACTTTTTCCATCCGCTTTCCTTGGTAATGCGAATGCGAAAGTAAGTACGCGTGCAAGAAAATGCGATGAAAACTCCACGATTTACGGTTATTCGACCGAAATTGGACTGAATGCGTTTCTCACATAGCCGCGAAACATTTTATCTCGGCACGAAGAGAATCCACAAAGTAAGCGGTCGGTACCTTCCGGTGCTCAATCATCCCCGTTGCATACTTTTAGGAGATGACGCGTGTCGTTGATGCACCATAAGGTTGATTGCCAATCACAACAAGCCTGGTCGCTTCATCTGTTATGAATGAGCTTCTCCAGTCACCGACTGAGGTTGCCGACGAGAAAATCTGCCTTAGGCAAACCTCGACACTCCTACCGTTGACTGCTGAATTTTGTCAAGCGAAGCCTGAATTATCCGAATAATTTCTCACGCTACTCCTCCCCGTCAACATCACAGGAGACAAATTAATACATCGATGTTTATGCATGTGTATCCATATACTGGGTGTATCGCGTAAATTGAACATGTAAATTATTTCGTCTTAAAAGAAAAGAACCAGAGTGATTGCACAAGACTTAAACCTTCTGCACGGTGTCAATAATTTCGTTTTTACACAGAACATTAGAACTGATGATAAAATTGTCGTTTACGTTACCCGTTTCATCTGATCCGTTTCTTCATGGAAACAACTAAGTAGCTGATGGATGTATTTACGGTAAGGGAGACAGCTAATTCGAAGCAATAATTCCAACGACTTAATCGCCTACGTCTGAATGAGGTTTAACACCGTCTCTCGCCCTTGTTTGCGCCTCGAAAGGATTAAGACTAAAGACGATGAGCTTCTGTCAACAAGGTTGGCCGGTGAACGACACCCAACAGCTAAGATATCCTTCTCAGTGACTTATCCTTGCACTTTGATAGTTTCTACAGATTCATGACCACGTAGAGATTGTACAGTCCATAGTCTACTTTTTACAGGATGCTCGAACAGTCAACGTGTATTTCCTTATTGTAGGACCTTCTTTAGTTTCGAATTGTCTGTGTTGACTATATCAACTTACTTGAATACAGACCTGGGCACTTCTCAAATGATAAAAGCCATCCTAGAAACTGAGTTCCAACAATGTTTTGAAAAATGGAAAAAGCGTTGTCACAAACGAATTGTAAGTAATGGAGATTACTTTGAAAGTGACCAAATAGAATTCAATAAATAAATGGATAGTTTCTGCTTTATTAAACTTGTCTCTAGACAGAGGTAATATTTCACTAATCAAAGCGCCCTGTAACTCCAAAAGTAATGATTTTTGTATCCATGATCTTTATGAAGACTGTTTTGTTCATTTTGATGAGTACTCTATGCTCCTGAAGTTTGGCCCCAACTTTTTTTCAACGGCTTACGTAAACAAATCTATGATGGTTTATGTTTCTTTGTCTCGCGTGTTCTGGTCAGAATTTTATCTATTCATAAACACAGACAATGAAATGAAAGTTGTAACAGTGAGGTTCGTGTAAAGTTCGAGCAAAGTTGTCGGGTAGGTGAAGGTACCCGAGGAAGGGAATAGTGAAAAGCAAACATAGAGAATACATTTGCCTGCTAGTAATTCCATTCGTAGCGCTGAGTGCGTCGGTGATAACGTCGTGGCAAGCTGCAACGGCTGTTTGTTTATTGGGATCGTCGACCTGAAGTTGCTGCCGCAAGGTATTTTCGGGTAGAGCTGCCTTTAGCACCTGCATTAAAGATACTCGGATGTTTCTTTGAGGACAAGCAGCAGACAAACAGGATACTCGAATGTGGCTGTCTCTGGAAACATGCGCATAGGCAACGCAAGACGTGACACATACTCGAAAACTATTCCAGTCATGTCGACAATATTTGAAAATCATGTGAAGTAATGTACAGGATATCTCAGCTAAATCCAAACACCTAAATATTTTCTTCATTTTTAAGGATAGCAGAAATGTGTCAAACACAGTTTGAATGGTTTCAAAACAGGAGTTCCGTAAATAGGAAAATTTTGTTTGTGATCATTTTTTCTTCATTTTTTGAGGTCGCTAGTATTGTTTGATTAGAAAGTATATACTTTTTCCTACTGTCAGATATGTCTTATTCATGACCTTGAAGTGACTTTGAACATTGAAAAATAATGAAATTACTTTATAACTATATTTATAAAATGTTAAATGAAAATTAGAAAATCGACGTTTCTTCGTGTTGTTTAATGACAATAGGTAGCCACCATGTCAGTCAACACGTTGAAACAACGCATTAACGATTGGGCAAGATAATTGGTTCTCGAACGCTCACAAGAACGCCTGTATAACATCAGAAATGGGTAAATTCATTATCTAGATAAACAGTTTCAAATGACAAATAAAAGAAAAAAAGTACTTTGTCATTTCAAATTGATTAAACGTAGAATTCCAATTTTTATATCATAAAATAGTACTTCTTCTTGAATGAGTAGATCATACATATGTATAGTACATTTAGCAAACAATTATTTAATCTCAAGAACAGTTTAAAAGTCAGGATGGCGATGTTAAATACTACACTGCTTTTCTTGGTGTATTATTCGAAAAAAATTGTGCCCAACTCTATGTGACATTGTATTAAACTGAATGTCCATCTTTCTATTAACACCTAACGTAACAAAATTATATTGTTTTATTACGCGACGATGCTTCTAGTTTCATTTCCACGTATACATATGTATGTATGTTTCTACCCCTATCGTGTAACGGTAATCACAAAATTGGGCGCCGAATCCTGGAAAGGTAACCGTGACTATGATTTTGGACATTTATTAAAAGAATGCAATACGTAGAAATAACAACCCATATCCCACGGCTATCTACCCTTTCATTGTAGACTAGGGCTTCAACCGTTGTCCCTCCATAGTCCATACCCTTACCAGAGATGGCTTCACTCTCGCCCCTCAACCCTCTCGATCCAGCTAGAGTGGAGAGCGGAATAGTTTTCCTGCTATACTACAGATACGATTGCAAATTGAGCGGATTTCCTGACACTAGAATCACCACTATTACTAACACGTTTCCTGTAGGCAAAATATTGTAGGCGATTAATTCCACATTAGTAGCAAACAACGTTTTGGTAATTCGAATGGTATTCGCTTAATAAGGAACATCAATTTAGTGAAATAATTAGTAACAAATGAAATTGTTTTGACGAAGATTCTGATAGAGTAAAATTATATTAATAATACAGTTGATGATATCGAAAAATTAAATATATATGCAGCCTGCTCCTAATTTACTAATTTAAAGAAACAAGGACTTAATAAACATGCGTCCCTATTGTATTCATGATATTTGATCTTTTAGTTTTTAAGGTAATAATTTTGTATGGCATGTTTATAAGGATCGCAGTGTGATTAATATCTCACGAAATGGAAATTGCCAATAACTTGAAATATGTTTATATTTTCAATAAGTTTACGTGTTACTCCATACCCACACAATTCTTAATCACTGCTTTGTTCAAAATGATTTCATGTGCATGCCTTTAAAAAAATTGAATATCTTGAAAAATAGTAATTCGCCAACGTATATTTATCATAACTTCCTTTTATTTCCTTTAGCAGATTCTAACAATCAGAAAATTGTATACCTATAGTTCTGCTTAGTTTGTTTAACATTATTATAATTCTACAATGTGTAGTAAGCGTTTGCTTGAAGTTTATGATAAATTTAAAGTTAAATACAATTAACGTCACATTAAAGAACTTATGTGATTATTTAAACGAAGTATGATTTGCAACGTAAAAGCTTTTAGATATCTCAATTGTAAACAGAGAGTATCTGACGGGTTTCCATATGAACTTTGTCAGCTATTAGACTGTGGACGGTCACGTAAATTCACGTCTACATTTCCTGCGTTGAAGATTCTATGAAATTGAAGGTGAAAATAAAACTTTAGCGAACATTATTAAAACTCCTCATCTATTATTATAATCTATCGTTATAACTAGATAAAATCTGTAACATAATTATTATAAAATGAGAAATTTCTATCAAGAATAAGGAGTTGTTTAAATGGTCACTATTATGCATTTTAAATAAAAGCGTATTTTATACGAATTTTTTTTATTTTCTTTTTTTTATAATTCAGGTCAAGAATAACAACTTCCCGATTTGTAAGATCCATTCTGTGATATTCAATTTTTTAGTTTTTAAGTAACATAAAGATTAATACAAAATGTAAATGATACCTATTTAACTTATAAAATCACATAAATTCGTTGATGTAACTAATAATGAATAATTTTATAGTACAAGTTTAAGCTACAATAATATTTCTGATATTTTCACAAGAACATACAATAAAACTTTAGTTTTCAAAAGGAAATGAAATCATTCACGGAATCAATTCATTTCTTATAAAAATATTGCCAATATGTGAATTCATTTGTATTTCGATCTCGACTACAATTGGAGTATTTTATTGATACATGTTTACAGAATATTTGGCCGGTACGATGTAAGAAAATAATGAAAGCGAACGCTCCCATGGGCGTTAGCGCCGGGTTGAGCACAGTCGTAAGATTTCTCGACACTGTCTGGCCCGCAGATTATCGGCTTAGCCAGCTACCTCCGTTGGCTGAGTTGTTTCTACGAGTAAAAAGGGCTAGACGAAATCAAATGACTGCCATGGCAATTTTTTATTTTCTTGCCGTATTGCAGTTGCCCGGTTTGGTACGTTCTTTGCTTAGACAAAACGTTCATTCTGTCGCGCGTATTAGGTTGAGTAATGGGTATGTATGTTCGTGATTTTTCATAAAATCTTGCGTCGATATTACACTTTTATGGAAAACCTACATGACTAACGGTGAATATACAGAGTGTCTCGCTTATAATGAATAAAGTAAAAATTGTGTTGAATCATTTTGTCAGTGTTGAAAATAAAAAAAATAACTAAAAGGAGTTTATATAACTTTAAGACGTGTATCTGGTGGTAATAAAAAACAAGTTCCCCCAAAGTTATCTTGTAGGTTATTTCAAGGTCATCGACATTTTTTTGCGTATTAGATTTTGTTTTTTTTATAATGCAACATTATAACTGAAATCAATACAAGTACAACGACCGACATGATGACCTTAAGCCTTAAGCAGTAAGAAATGATGGCCTAATAATAGTTTAATGATGGTCCAAACGAGTTTTAAATGATTCATTATATGCATATGAGCCGTTTTTCTTTTTAAAGTGGTATAAGTCCTTTTTGGAAAAAAATGAATTACTGGTAGTTTTAGTAAGACATAGATGTTCTCCTTTTATACTTACAACAACACAGTCAATGGTGTACAATATCCTCATAAATTAATTAAAAGAAGTTTAACTGTAAAATGTCGTCGCAAGATTGTTTTAACAGATGTTATTGAAGATAAGACAAACAACAAAAGGAATAGCGTTTAAATAACTTTGAGGTAACTACATGCGGTTAAAGTTTCATTTGCGAAAACAAGAATTCATATGCACCGGACCTAATATTATTCTAACGGCGAATGTATAAAGAAAGTGAAGAACAAGAATAACAAATTGTTTTTAAATTCGTGCTCGTAACCATCCGAACGTATTGCTACAGTATGGTTATAAAACGATAGAACATCCTGTACATTTGGCACTGTTATTTAGAGCGCTTCCCACTTTCTGAGGGACCGTTTCCCTCTTACGTTCTTCCCTCTTCTTTGTTTCCTCAACAAATATTCTCCGCGATTCTCCGTCATTTGAGTCGAAAGGAGACCGGAAAGCGGTTCACTGGAAACAGTGTTTTCTAGAGCGTGAAATCGCGTGTTAATACAGGTACCGATCGGGCCGTTGATGTTTTATTTTGGGTTTCCATTAAAATAGATAATCACATGCACGATTCTAACGACAAATGCGAAAGAATTATTGAAAGTGCATCACAAACGATCCTGGTAGCTTATATGTCGACGTATATAATAACTACACTGAACATATACAGGGTGTCTCAGCTAAACCTAAACGATCGTCGAATCAACAACGGGATCATAACATTGGTTCTTCTAACCGGATGAGGTTTTTTAGTCGGCACACTACATGCAAACATCCATGAAACTCCAACGATCCTGAGATCAACCGCGAGTTATATTACAAGAAACAAATTATTTCTCCTGCCAATAGTTCTGTGTAATACCATATTAAATAAAAATCTCATTAATCTTAAGTAAACATTTTAAACAATTATGTGCACTATAAGTACATAATATCCCCAGTTAAGTAATAATACATAAATTTTCTAAGTAAAATGAAGTGATTCAAATTTTTCAACGAATATAAAAGTTTCTTATATACATAGATATTGTAAATATCTTATATAGATTATACAGATAATACCTATGTAGATTAATATGTTTCTGTATATTAACTTTTAGTCGAATCTCCTCACTCGTCAACTATTATTCACTTATTCAAGAACACTGCTGAAGCCATACATTTCGAAAAAAATGAAAAAATCATTACACTTGCGAACTAAACGAAAGTGGGGGGAGGGCGAGAGTATATTACCGTAATGAAAACATTCTCACTCATTAATCAGAGAGCATACCGTTATATTACTCACCTGGAAATGCAGACCTCGTTTGACGAGAAAAGTCAATTCACAGCGCATGAATTAGAACCTGCCTTTAACGAAAAGTGTGTCAAGCGAGGGTCAAAAAGATCACGATTCAACAATATTACGGGGAGAGACGACTAAATTTCGAGAATATTTTATTTGAAAATTTTAATCCGAAAATTAACCGAAGTGAGGCCATCGTCTTCGAAGTGGTCTCTGAGATTGTGTACACTCATTCCAGTGTAGGATCCATTGATGGTAACATTTCCGATAGGTACTCACTTTCTGTAGCCTCTTGCACAATAATTTATCAACTAATAATATTACTGAATTTACATTTTTGTAATATAATATAGGAATCTATTAAAGTATTTTTAAAAAGTGGAAATGCGCATATACTTATTTTATCTACTATATATTACTACAATCAGTGCTTCATGTTACAGGACCAACTGTAGGAAATAGAGCAGTCGTTCAAGGTACAGCCGAGTTACCATGTGATATTCGTCCTCCACGGGAAAATGATTCCGCAATTTTGGTTGTATGGTACAAAAGCGACATCACGCCGATTTACAGGTGAGTGTTTCCATTATTTTTAATACATTACTCGGACCATTTTAAGCATTGCATTAAAATACCTATACAGTGTAACAAAAGTATTGTAGGCCCCTGAAATGGATCACTTGTGAGGTGATTTGGAACAAGTTTTTCCTTAGCAAAAATGTTAACCGAAGCTTTGTTAACGAAATATTAATGAAGTTGAATCTCAATGTCGACATTTTTATTACATAATATACGCCCTTGGTGCAAGTAACTCGCAAAATTTCAGAATTTTATCCAGTCTCCCACCAGAGATAATTAGCCATAATTCAGCTCTAAAAAGAAATACTTCGTTGCAGTTACGACATGAGAGGCAAACATTCCGAAGAGGCTTCTCACTGGAACGATAAAGACCATTTGAATGACCGTGCATTCTTTAGGACAGTCACAGAACCGGCTACCTTAAATATAAATCACATAGAAGAAAGAGACGAAGGTGAATACAGATGTCGAGTGGATTTTGCTAAGAGCCCGACGAGAAATTCAAGAATTCATCTCACAGTGATCGGTATGTATAAACATTAATAGCGTCAAATATTTTAGAATATAATATACCCGAAGTAGAAACAGACAGCAACAGATTAAAATAATTAAAATGTGTTATCATTTCGCCATCTCTACAGCAAACATTTTTTTGCTAAATGCGAATTGTATCAAGTGCAGTCATTATAAAGAGGATAGTTTCATAGATCCATAATTTGAAACACGACCAGCAGCCTCTATTAACAAAACGCATACATTTTCAACGATTTATGACTTTAAAAACAAAATAAAGTGTGTCTGGCTACGTATAGCCTTTTTCACTCGGGCAGTCGATGTGTTAATATTTTTGCCCCCTCCCCCCGCCCGACTGATAATCTGGCTACACCCATGATACAGGTACAAGAAATATAATTCTGCCTGAAAAACTGATAACGTAAAATGCTTTTTAATTAACCTTAACAAAAAAATGCATCATCTGGGTGAAAAAATCCGACATTACTTTTTGGCCAGTCTTGTTTTTAAAGCTTAATGACTTAATAGTAGAAAACTTCACAAAACTTTTAATTGTTGAAAGAATTTAAAATTATAGAATTTGAGAATATTTTCGCCTGTGTTACAGTACCACCGCATAAGCCAAACATTATTGATGAACACGGCAAAACTGTGCCAACAGTGGCAGGTCCATACGAAGAAGGTGGTGACATGAAATTGCAGTGCCTTGTCACTGGAGGTGAGTTCTATTATTTTGCAAATAGATAAATTATAATCAATAGTAATTGTACGAACTTTTTCTTAGATTAGAGATGGACCACGTTTTTTAAAATGTTCGAAAATCGAACATTTTAGAAATAATAGATATTGCACTCAATGATTTGTGTAGTGTATGATCTTTTCTAGCACATGTAATTAGTAGAATAGAATATATTTATAAATAACTGCAGAATAAAAAAAATTAATTTTTGAGCTCTGGTCCATCTCTCCCTAACTATTACAGGTAAGATGGACTGCTTTTACAAATGTTACCAAGTAAAATGGAAAAAAATCTATTATCTGATATTGAAAGAGAAGAACTTTATCAAACATTACCCTATGTTAATCGCTGCATTTGCATTGTAATTTCCTAACTCAATATAATAGATGAAATTGAAAGACAAACTAACGAAAACTTTTACACGACAGCTTTCTCTTCTTTTATCACCCTTCTAATCGTAATCATACGATATTTCACGTTCACCGATAAATTTTGTCTGCACAAACAGTCGATAATGGTTTGCAAACACTCGACGCGCCAATCTACCCAATCTCTACAAGCTCTGTGCTTCGTCGTTTTTCACAGCAACGCGAACAGTCCTAGTATTTTTTTGCATATACTCTGATAATTCTTGCCATTTCTACCTAGGTAACACATACACAAAGTTGAATAAATGATTATTGTCACCAGTGTGACCGTAAAATGCTTCGTTCCCTTATTCACTTATGGGGCCACGACAAATGCAACGACTTTAATATAAAATTCTTAATTTTCCACGTGTTTTAATGACAAAATAGAGGATTTCGGTTCGGAAAGCACTCAGAAATTGCCACAAAGATAAAATATCATTGCAGACATTGGTGATTATTACATTCCAAATTTAAATTAAACGTATCTGAACGTAAACCAAATAAGATACACGAACGGCAGAACTTTCCGGCAAACGTAATACATACATATTCAAGAATTTGAATAATGAAAAATTCATACAATGCATAGATATTCGTAGAACAAGGGATGGAACTTTATGAGTATGTTAGCAATCCTAAGGTTTATCTTTTCAAAAGAGGCACAAAATGATTTTCCCAAGGCGATTCTGGGGTAAGTGCTGTGCGATTCAACACAGTCCTCTTACCAGAAAGCACCCCTGCAGTCTCCACTCTGTAACTAGAACCTCAAGGAACAATATCCTGCTTACTGTATCAAATTTCACTCGTCTGTTCCAAATGTGCCCATGTCAATCGATAGCGAGATGACCCAATGTGAACAACCGCCATTGCTCGACGTCAGGTCTGTTTAGTTTCGTGCACCCTCTGTCACAAATATTTCGAAAGTCAAATAGCATCTTGGGCCCCTGCAGAATTTAATAATTGAACGAACTTACCAAGTGAAGTTCGATTAGAATTGTATGATCGCCTCCTCCGAAAAGATCAAATCGTAATACCGTTACTCCATGCCAGAATTACCTTACCAACTAATAATATTAATGAATTTACAAATTATAAGTTGTAACTTGTGAACTTCTGCTGCACAAACGGTTTTTACAATTTTACATGTTACAAGTTAAATCACTAACATTGTTGGTATACAAACGTTCATTGCACAATAACTACGATGTTTTTTAAACATTTTAAATTTTCACAATTCTTTAACGCCATGTAATTCGTATGAAACAATACATAAAACTCTGACCCAATTGCATACCGAACTAAAATCCTGGAAACCACAGATTCGGGTGTTATGAGGTTACTTCGAAATCCTTGATTGGCAGCCAAGTCTAAATTTTCCCTCGCCATCGTCGTTTCCTTGAGAAACACTGGAGTAAACGAATAGGCGATAAAAGATTTGTTAGTCGTGCGACGAAATTGTAGTAATATTTAGAAAATGGATTCAGCGAAACTTCGTAGTGCACCTGCGTCTTCCTCGAGAACTTGGAGAACACGGCAGCCTTTGGGCGAGAGATTAACATAAATGCAATCAACGGATTCGTATTGTCTATGGTTTACGTTCGGATTACAAGTTTAACTAAACAATTTTATATTTACGTTCGTGTGATGTAATATTCGTAACATTAATATAGCGATTATAAGACAGTTTTAGACTAGTATATGGCAAAAGTTTAATTATTTTATAAGTTCGGTTTTTTAATAAGAATGAATATTTCACAAAGGAAATAGATCTGTAAGTGCCCGTTTTCTTATAACACTTCTTGGTGTTAAATTCATCTATCTAGTGTATACTCACTTTTGACTCTCACTGTATCTTACTAAAATGTTATTATTTTCCACTAAAACTACGCTATTAGGTAGCAGAAAAGTAAAGGGAAGCTGCAAACGAGATATACTTTAAATTCCAACTCATTGGTATTCCTCCTTAGGTCGACCTGAGCCGAAAGTGAGATGGTGGCGTGGAGAAATGCTACTTGATTCCAAAGATGAGCCAGGTGAATTCCCTGCACTTCGTAGGAACACTTTGATAGTGAAGCAACTCTCAAGAGCTGATCTTCATGCAGTATTTACTTGTCAAGCAGCCAACAACAATATCAGCCAGCCTGTCTCGGCCTCTGTGGCTATCGAAATGCATTGTAAGTTATGTTTGTATTTGAGGTTACATTACAGTTACAACAGCAATATAACGGACAGACGTGATAGAAAAACATATACAATACGTATTAAAACTGTAAAACCGTCTAAAACTTTTAATTTTATGTGTTTTAACTGAATAGCTGTGAAACAATAACGGAACTTCCATGTGCACAAATATATATTTTATTGTGTTAATCTTTTCAGTGAAATATTTATTTTCAATTCGCTACAATACGTTGTTTATATAATATATATATATAAATAAGTTGTTTTATATTTATGAGAGGTATTGTAGTCTATCTGCTCTGGAAATTTTCGTCGATTTTCATTACAATTTTCACCAAGAATATGATTTCCTTCAAGAGCCTTTCCTTAAAAAGCCACGTAACATGACTACGTCAAATAGTTCGTAAATTATTTACTGTACAAAAAAATATTTTAAATAAAAGTTATGTGGTTTCTAGGGGAACATACAGTACTGTAATTGATTTGTTTTTACTTTACTTTTTTCTGCCGAAGTTTGATCAACTCATTTGAAAACATCTCAATATAATTATCAATTTTAAACTCTATTTGATATAATGCTTTTTTACGCAGAATTTGATGGTTTATCCAAAATTTATAATTTAGGTTAGGTATATGATTTAAAAATCTGAAAGTAACCTTCATATCTTGATAAAAAGGGAAAGTAATAACAAACCGACTACAGTACTGTATAGCCCCCTAGAAACCACATAACTTTTATTTGATACATTTTCTCGTACAACAAATATTTTATGAATTATTCGAAATGGTCATGTTACGAGACTCGCCCTTTATACAGTTTACAATTTTACTAAAAACTACTAAGTTTCCATATTTCTGTACGTTTTAGTGAAACCATTAAGTGTGACGATATTAAGCAGCGACCATGCACCGCTTAGCGCGGATCGAAAGTATGAAATAAACTGCATGACCGTTGGTTCAAGACCACCTGCGAAATTAACCTGGTACATGGATGGAAGAAAGTTAACCAACCACACAGAAAAGGTATTTTCCTTCATTCAGATATACCTACTTTTACAAAATATTAGTGTTATCATTTCTTTATAATATTTACTCACGATAAAGAGTGAAAATTGTGGGGAGAGCAATGCAATTATATAAGGAGACCGACAAAACGCGATTATAGGGTGGGAGTATTGTAAATAAACCTATTCAACGTTGATGAACCGAGACATAGCAACCTAATTCCTGCATTGTAATACCGGATTAAGTACTGCATCATCCACCGAACGAAGGCCGTAATCAACGCTAAGTTTGATTTTACTGTTAAAGGTTTCGGAGGACGGTAATATGACAAGTTCAACGCTAGTTCTGAAACCAACTTTACACGATCACGACAAAATTATTACGTGTCGAGCAGAAAACACCAGAGTTCAACGCGGTCTACTTGAAAACACGTGGAAATTAAATGTGTTCTGTAAGTAGAGCTTAAAAAGACACATTATTAAAAACATAAAAATGTTTGAAATATCTTATGACACTCTAATTACGTATTTGATGTGTAATAAATCTACTTTTAATACTAAATATTCACATACGTCAATAATACGGAATTTCTTGCGTTCCAGAAATTTACTAATTGTGTTGAACGTGTCTACTTAGCAATGATAAATTTACCGTTTTCTAGTTGTTCCAATTTTACACCTGGAATTGGGCTCGAACATGAACCCAGACGACATCGAGGAAGGGGACGATGTATATTTCGAATGTAAAGTGACTGCTAATCCCGACGCTTATAAAGTAGTATGGAAACATAATGTGAGTTATGACATTTACTAATTTCTCAACATTCATAATTAGTGTTATTTATATCTCTACCTAATATTTGCATGTTATTACGAACATAATGAAGCAATTTTCTACTTTACTAACTGTTCAACAACTATGAGTACAGTTATTTTCATCTCAACCTAATGTTTCAATATTATTACAAATGAAGAAAATAACTGTCCGTCTGATAATGATTTTTATAAATCATTACCCAAAACTGTGAATACGCGAAAGTAACGACAATCCAGTTATAATTATTTAACATGTACATCGTTCTAGGGAAATGTGATACAGAATAATGCGAAGAACGGCGTAATAGTTCAACAGTACGGTTTGGCTTTGAGGGAGGTCAATCGTTCCCAAGCCGGAAATTATACTTGTATCGCCAGCAATGTCGAAGGAGACGGTTACAGTAACAATGTCGAACTTAAAATTATGTGTAAGTCTCATATGTATATTTCCAATTCATTCGTAATCCATATTTCTCGCAAAATTTTCACCATCATTCTTTTTTCAGACAAACCTATTTGTGTACCAGACCAAAAACGTATTTACGGAGTGGCTCGTCTAGAAGACGCCAGAATAATTTGCCGTGTTGAAGCTTACCCACCACCGGACAGTTTCCGTTGGACTTTTAATAGTACCGAAGAAATGGTGGACGTACCACCGGCGCGATACAAGAACTCCACGCGTCACACTCAAAGCGTGCTCACGTACAGACCGGTGAACGAAATGGACTATGGCACAGTATTTTGCTGGGCCAGTAACACCGCCGGTCAACAGAAAAACCCCTGCGTGTTCCATATTATCCCGGCAGGTATGTGCACATATGTATACAGGGTGAAACAAACATGTTGCAGGTCCCCGAAATGGGACACTCGTGAGGCGATTTGGAACAAGTTTTTCCTTAGCAAAAATATTATCCGAGGCTTTGTTAACGAGATATTAACGAAAAACCCCGACCAATCAGAGCGCGAGTATGCCAGCCGACTTTCCGCGGTAAAGTTGGCTACCAATCGCAGCAAGTAGCCAATGTTGCCGCAGGAACTCATCTAAGATATCTCATTTAAGAAACCCAAGTTCACTTTCAAATCTCGAAGATTTGACCTCGATCATATAACTTAGCGATAAATAACATCGCTTCATAGAGTAGTTTAATAAACAGTCAAGTCCTATATTATAAAACAGTCACCTAACATTTGTAAAACATTTATAATTCTATTGTTAATAGGGAAACCCGAACCTCCGTATAACTGTACGCTGTCGAACCAAACAACCAAATCACTCTCGGTTGAGTGTTTCGCTGGTTTTGACGGCGGTCAGTCTCAACATTTTCTTCTCGAGGTCTTCGATCAAGCAACAGGAAACCTCCAAGCGAACATCACGTCTAAAGAGAATGCAGCTTTCACTGTGCAAGACTTAGAGCCCGGAAAAAATCTCAATATGGTCTTGTACGCTATAAATGCGAAAGGAAGAAGCGATCCCGCGCGTTTAGAAGGATACACATTGAAAATTGCGGAGAAGCAAACTGGTAAGTAATCATACAAGTATTTTCACGTTAATTTCTACATAAGGTATAGGATAAATAGAACTATGAACACTCACTCATGGAAACATGATTTAAAATAATACAAATTTCGGTTTAAATTAAGGAATCATTCATTCCATAGACTTACTTTGTATCGCATACCACGATATCTTATTTTATAAAATGTCAGTTTTATTAATTAATATATTTAATGACACTTTTCTCCATGAAAATTGTTAAATGTATCTACCACTTGCATGCAAAATTAAACCCCGCTTTGTATTTGTTATAAAGTACAATTTGTTTTAAAGCTACTTGAACAGTGCCTAGAATTGAAACTCTACAGTAAACATCCTAAAATTTTACTTAGTATTTTATCAGAAACTATGTTGTAAAAATCAATTCATAAAACAAATCAGTTATAATTAATACTATCTTCTAAATATTAGTTTAAAATTACAAAAGTTTTTCCTTCGTTTACGGTTCAATAAAATATCAAATACTACTAAAAAATCCAACGTTTCATATAAGAGTGTTCGACGAAAGAAGTCAGAAATTACAGAGGGTGATTCTAAATACGAAACTAAGACGGAAATCAAGAATAACAAAATTTCGTCAGAGGCTTTGTTTCCAAGTCATTAGTTACTGAAAATACATGTGAAAAAGATCTAACGCGAGAGCATAGACTACTGCTGACGCGTGTTAACTGGGTTAGCCACGGGCGTAATAATAATTTTCAAAGCTGCCTAGGGCAAACTTTGGCGACATTTTTCTGGCCGTTACTGAATTTTCTAGGCAAGTGACACTTATTTCAGTTTTTAGGCAGTCGAGTCTTATAACTTCCAACCATTAGTTTTTTAAACTTAATCTAACATCTCGGTAACTTTTCTTGTTAGACGTTGCGATCAGTCTACGAAACTGCAATCGTGGTTTAGTGAGTCATAGTTTTTAAAAGTAAAGTCGATATTCTTTATTGTCGTCTTAGTTTGGTATTTAGTATCACCCCTTACAATTTCTGATACTAGGCATCGAACACCATGTACACCAACCTAGTGCTGTACTTATGATGATTGTTGCATTTCGACATGATTACACAAGAGCAGTGCGTGTTTTGTTCACAGGTACCCCGGTACCATTCGAGATCACCCCGTTATTAGGGGGTTTGATCGGAGTGGTTACCGCGTTGCTTTTGATTACCATCACAATTCTAGCAGCTATGAAAATCAGAAGCGAAAGAAGGACACATAGGCCGAACGACTTACCGTTAAAAAAGGGAACGGCGCCTAGTTCCGAGGATCTTTACGATACTGACGACAGAAATCCAGATGTTGTGCCAGTAAATAAAGGTACGATACTGTTACATTTTCAGTTTAGTGTGCAACACAATTTCAAGTAAGCCGAATTTGTATATTCATCTAATCTAAAATAAATATTGTCTTAACATCCTTCTGTACGATTATCATTTAAATGATTCGTAAACGCAGCCATTAATGTTTTCAAATATCTGTCAGTATAAATATGAAGGGAAAAATCGTTTGTATATGAGTTATTTAAAATTTTTTTTTACCACGTTTCTACATGAAAAATTCCATTTTATGTTTGTAATTTATGCATTTTATTATGAATTATTAATTCGTTTGTAATATATCAACGTTATCGTTTCATACTGCACATTTTATTCGCGTAAAGGGAGATAAGTCAAGAAACCAAATTACCAAACGTTCTGCCTTGCATATTATTACAAGAAACTGTTTGAACAATATTTTAAATAAAATTTTACCACAAACTAACACTTAAGGATGAACATTTGATGAAGGTTCGGATTATCAATTAACGGGATCGTGGATTACCACCGTATTCACACGAATATAATAATTATCCAACATTACCAGTATGTAAAATATTAACTGTATTCCGTTACTCATTTTGTTGTCGAATTACAAATATAATCTTCCCCGGTTAAGTATGTTACAAGAATAAGTTGCTTCACACTTATTCCGATTATACTCGCTACAAGTACCGATATGTAGAAATGGTGAACATTAAGTCTTGAGAACATCCTACGGATATTCCAAAATGGACGTAGGACATTCGGACATAAACTGGACATAAAACGGACGTCCTATGGACATACGGTGTTATCTGGGTCGTGAACTGTAGAAAACAGATATTTCATATGTTACGACGTAATAGAAACATAAAAATGAACTATATTCAACTAATTGTACCCCCACCCCGTCTCTAAAGTATTGCCTATTTACAATTTACAATTGTTCCTTTTATGTTTCTCAGTTATCGGGCGAAATAACGTACGCAGAATTATGTCTGGCACGGCCAACAACTTTATCGACGTTAGCGACCGACACGAAACTGACGAGCATAAGTGGAGGTGGTAGTTTAAGTACCATACAGGGTTACGGAAGCGGAGTGATCGTGGGTGGTAAACCGTACACGAAAGAGGCAACGATCTATGCCTGCATAGACCACAACGCCAGACCGACGAAAATCGACGTTTCGAACGCGTCGTCGTGTGCACCGACACCGCTGTCAGCGAAGAGCACGTTTCAGGACTTAAACGTGTCGACGATGACCGCCAAGCATCATCCCTCGATAGAAATCGTCACTGTTCGCACACCGTTGATCTCGACCCAAGAAAGTTGTGTATAGGGTTGCGATCCCGACGCGCTGAACGTCAACGAGTATTATGTTTGATGTGATTCACGGCCTGTGACGTCGAGGCGCGTCTACCGAATCGAGATTTATTAACCGTTTATCATACGATAAGACTTATATGCTCTTTGGTGTGCGGTAAACGTGTAAAGTAGTCAAAATGAAATGAATATCAGACGGACTGATTGACTCCGAAGCTTGATTCGAACATTACGACGGTAGTGAAGGGGTAAAGAATAAAAACAATGGAACAATGAGTGTTCGTAACTATATCGTTAAGAAAACCGCGCGAAGATATTGTTAGTTATAAAATTTCTTGAAGGATATTGATCAACGTAATCTGAATTTGATCAATAAGACTGATTCAAACGTCTTAGTATAATTCGTCACGTGTAAAGCTTAAGATTCTTTGGGTTAACGGTTATAAATATGTACGTAACGAATGCAACAAATTTTCATAAACACTCGTCGGTAATTATCGTATATGTTCTTGCCGTATCGACTGCATTTCTTCTGTCGCTAAAAAAATCCATCGGAATTTATCGATTCTGTTTGAAATAAACAAATAGCTTCATGGTACTAAGATTTTTTATATGATATATCTACAATGACTGCTTATTGTGTATACGTATGTTGCCTAACACGCGAAATAATCAACTTTTAATTTTAATTAAACCGAATGAATTTTATATATATTTGTTGCTTTTCAAGTATGTATTAAGTATTATGAAAAAGAAAATGTAATATACAGAGAATATAATTAGACTGTACGATATATGATTTGTTATTTTCAATTTTCTAATCGATTGTTCATATGTGTAACAAATCTTTATTCGCACAAACAACGTTTAAACACTTCCAATTCATCAAACGCTGTTAATTTCTAATTAAGTCTTCTGTACTTTCATCAATAATTCAGCGTATGTTAATTTAATGATACGTACATACGTATTAATACGGAATACTAATGGGAAAGTTCTGTCGTTTCTCTATAACCATATGAACAAAAAATAAGATTAATCTATAATTTTCGTGTAAGTGAATGCCATTATTTAAGATTTTATCACTTTTATATGTTCTACTGAAAGATACATCTTCGTGAGTTTATCGTGTGATATACTTTTTAATATCACAATACAAATAAATAATCGAAACAAATAGTCCAATGATATCAGAAGAGGCAAATGTAATATATGATTTACTGCTTCTCAAGCTGTCTCTGATTTTCATTCAATCTATGTTAGCTTTATTAATTTATGTTTGTGACGAACTAAGGCGAGCTTCTTGTATAGATATTACTTCCCACGTACCATTTTTATGTTACGATACATGATGCATTTACCGACACTTATTTTTTTATTGAAAGGGCCCATAGATAATACGATTAATCATATGAATTTTAAAAGTTTTGAACAACCACTTCTTCCGATAATCTTGAACAAGGAGTTTCGAAGTTATTTCCAGGGTTTGTACATGTATTGTGAATAACATATCTCTTCAGAAGAAAATTATTTTTCATAATTTATAATAAAAGATAGCAATAATTTATGAATAGAGTCACATTCAACAAATATGCCTAACTATTACTAATTATTTATACTTTTTCTAAAGTGTAGAAATATTAACAGTGCCATAGTCTTGATTGTTTACCACTGCAAGTAAATATAAATGATTATGAAAGAAAATACTAGGATGTACCACTGTTAGTGCTTATTGCAAGTAGACGCAGTATTAGCCACTTGTATTCAGAATGGACTAATAAGGCCGTTTCATTATTGCCAGCTAATCGAAACTACTTGATTTGTATTCACGGTGTCTTCCTTGTACCCAAGTGAACGGTCCTCCAGATGTATCATAAATCTAGCTATAAGGTGTCCTAACACACCTCTTAACTTATTAGAAATTCCTACACCCATGTTTCCGAAAGTACAAAACAATTCTGTTGGCATTTACTAAATCGAATAACTCCGTACGATAATTCCTGATTGCTGAGGTCAATGTACTGTTGTGCACCAGGTGATACCCCAGTTAACACATGACGCCTAATGACGCCTTAAAGGCCGCTTAAAGGCGCCTTAGACCTGATATAGCCGTAAAGTGGACGTCTTCAAGGCGTCATGTGCTATCTGGAACGCGATGGTACTATTTGCCGTATCTCTATAATTGTAAATAGACGCCAAGAATTACATTGTACTTTCGTATACGTGATTCGACATCTGTCAGGGACAGATTGGGGCAGGTCCCTAAACTCCGACGCTTATGTTGAAGCAACACCGCTATAATATGAAAGCGTTGTTATGGTGATAGAAAGTAAATCCCCTTTTGTTAACAATAACGTACCACTAAATGTTTTATTTCTTATACCGCTAATAATACTTTAGGAAATGAATACTGTGCTTTTCTTTAAAATCTTGTAGTCTTCTCAGTTCATTTAATTCATTAACGTACTTCTATACCTAATATTACAAATTGGCTTTGTCAGTGGATTCAATTTCTTGACGCAATCTATTTCTTTCAATGTGTAAACCAAAGACGAATGAAATTTTGTACGAATTAAGGATTCTCATATTTAGTAATCAAAATTAAATATTTCCTAAATACAAACAACCGAACTTTCCCACAGGCTTAACGTACGAGTCTAACATAAGTATTGAATTATTTGCAGGATCGTCTGTCTTTATTATTTAGTTTCCGTATGGATTCATGAAATTTCGTACTACATTTTCATAGATTTTAAGAAATCATGCATGTTACATACTTGTTTGTAAATATGTGATTATAAAGATGTAAAGCTACGAAAACGTTGGGAAAAAAGTAAATAGTAACGACGTTTCGTAGCTTTTTTTAATAAGCAAACGTACCTAGGTTTTGAATCGAGGTTTATAAAGAATAAATAAAGATTACAGCTGACACTGTTTGAAATTTTCAGATCGACACTGTGTGTTTTTTAAGGTAGTATTCCAATAGTTCGACATTATTGTTGATCGTATTATAGCTTTATCAACGACCACAAAATTAAATGCTACATATAATAATATCGTAACATATCCTTAATTCAACTAGCTTCATTAATGTCAAAAGGTGGGAAAACTTCCTCGAGGGGATACAGCTTCAACATGAAAACCTCAAAAAGTGTCAACTGTAAATATGTATGATTGCCTGTACCAATCATGACTTTGTAAAAAAAGTTCAAGTTCATATACCATAATATTTAAGTTGTATTGTACGCGTATCAAATTTTGTTCGCAAACGATACAATAAAAGAGAAGTTTTCAGAAACATTGTATCTTTTCAACTCCCTTCAAACTTCCATCACTTGTATTACACAAAAGGGACATACGCTGGGTACATACTTTTCAAACGAATGTTAAATTAATCCTAACAACGTTCAAATACTCATTAATTGCATGGACACACAATTTCAAGGAAATGAAGCAGGCAATGCTATAAACAACGCAGCCATCGAAAAACGAATATAAATCTCTATCATCAGTCTTATACAAGAATAAGTTCTAATGTTAATTTGTCAAACATTTCAGTGTACATAATGTCTACCATGAATTAGGCCGGAAACTTGAACTTTAAATAACGTGCTTTTGGTCGATTAGCTATTCTAAATACATATAACCTATGTTCAATAGATATTACTTATTCTAAAACGCAATAAGTATTCTGTACTGTATTGTATTTATTGAAAAAAAAAAAGATCGTAGGCACAGTTTGCCCATAGTTAAAAAAATAATAACTTCAATCGCGCTCAGTCATTATCGCAACACTATTTTGAAATATAAAAACAATCTTAAAGGAAACACGGTCTGATTTTTCGCAACACTATTCTCTAAGCAACTACGATGATCTGTATTGAAAATTTACAATTCCATGCAAACCGTGATCTCGTCTCATCCGCAACACTAAATCAAACCACGATTTACTCAATATTGCTGGTGGTTGGGCCGATCTGTCGACCACAATACAAATTACTACGACTACAACTACAGGCGAGTACAGTGACAAAGTAGTAACAGAATGACTCCCCATCCGAAGATGCAGAGCCATTAGTAGTTGCCCTTTTCAATGACACAATTTGTGTCGGGCCTCTTCGGCATATAGCCTCTTCTTTTCTTCGGCAGTCCACCCACCTGAAACCCTCAAGCTGCTGGGTTGTGGACGACTAACAACTCCAAGAGTGTGTATGATCGTACCACGAGTGCAATCGAGCAGGTCGTTCGTTTCGACAATCCAATCCTTCCGACCGCGACCGCGACGACGACCCCCTTGGGGTTCGCCGAATTTGAAGAATCGAAATCGAAATCAGAAGCAGACAGCATGCTCCGTCTAGACCAGTTTTGAATCGACGCTACAAATTATCCCGGTAGCAGGACTATCACGCGAAACCTACGCGAGC